CGGCCTACGGCCTATACCTTGACTAAACTGAACATGACTGGACAATACATGACTTAATATACATAAATTCATCAATCAGAACACAAACATGTAACTGCTGCACGATGAACTTAGGAAGACCGTGGCGGGCGCGCCGTGCGCCGCCGACGGCTATAAGCCGTCTCTCGGCCGCAACACCTATTCCTTCGGCAACTTCTGAACTACATGACATGCACATTAATATGAAGCAGTTTAAGGCTTAATCACACGGACAAACATGATTCTTACTGAAATCACTTACAACACGGCCCACGGCCACCCGAGGCCACGCGATAGGCGTTGGCTACGGCTGGGGCCATTTCATCGACCAATCTTCAACTTTACTCGATAAATCTGATCATACTGAACATGAACTTAATTATACTGAACATTTACACGGCAATGGTTCGAGAGTTGCCGAAAGAAATTAAAGATTACTCGGTCATCATCTTACTTAAGCGCGTACGGTTATAAGCATGATTTTTCTTGGAAATTCTGAAAATTACTCGAACCCCTAGCCTTAAATCATCCTTACTAACATGAACCATAGCTGAAAGGAACATTACCTCTTTGATCGGTCGACGGTAATGGAAAATATAGCGTGATCCCTTCACCTCGCGTGCGCCGTGCGTATTGCCTAACTTTGCCGTGCGTTTTAATGGAACTTGTAGGGAAATCACTTCACTTACTACTTGCTGAAGATGGGAGAATATAAGAGAGACTATGCTGCTGATGCTTCTTAGGGAGAAAAGGGAAAATTTCGACTCAAATGTCCCTTATATACACGGCCGCTAAAATGATGTGTGATGATACTATGATGTGGTCTCTTATGGCCTTGACCAATGTTTGATTCTTATGAGTCTATAGGTGACTAAGCTCTCTCTTCAAACGACAAGTGGCATATTGTGAATGAACAAATTTTCATTTCCTAAAGTTTAAGAAACTTACGGCCGTAGCTTTAAATTGGAGAGATTTAGCCTTAACAACATGGCTAATAAGCTTTACATGTGATTAACTTATAATTAATCACTTACTTTATGTTTAATCATCTAATTAAACATAATGCTTAATTATCAAATTATTTCGAACGTAAACGGTACGTCGAAAATAAATTTCGGTAATCTCGACTGAACTTAATTAATTCTGAAAATAATAAACGATAACATTATTATATCGGAATTAAAACGTAATTTATACCGATAAAATATCGGGATATTACAGTCGCTGTGGTCCATTTCCGGCAGGGGGTTGGATGTCGGGAAAGGGGTTTGGCCTAGAATTCCTAATGTGGCCAAAGATTATGAGCCATTTCCGATGGTCGAGTTAAAACACCCTTCTGCAGAAACTATGCCCGTCCTGGATGTTTCCAGCGAGTAGGCATTTGTCGG